ATCTGTTCAAGTGGGACTATAAAATCCAGAATGTCTCAGTATTTTTTAAAAGCCCTGTAGCAAGACCTATGTCCTTAAAATTCCCTCAACTACTAAACACACTGAAAGTTTTTGAAACCCTGCATTAAATAGATTCATCTTTTGATGGGAAGAGGATGCTAACTGCTTATACCAGTCTTGAGGTCCACTAATGATGGACCGTGGACTGTGGTGGTCCATGAAGCCTTTTAAGACAGTTAAGCATTTTAAGAACATTTTAGTCTGCCTGATGAAGAGGTTTGGGCAGTACATCGTTTCATTTATGCATCCCAACAAGGCAAGCCATTAATATTCCCATTTTACAGGTGAACCGGTGAAACCCAGAGTATCTTGTTTAGAGCTACTGAGAGAGCTGATGACTAAGCAACAGTTTGGGCCTGGGTCTTTGCAGCCCTGTTCTAATATTCTGTTCTACTGTTTGGCATTCTTGCCATGCAAGGGTTTGGGTTTGATTGAGGGACAGGAATCACCTACCAGTTCTGATCTGTGACACACAGCAGGTCTAGTGCTTCCCCCACTTGTTTAAATTCTTGTTAACATCTCTGTTGTTCAGGATTTTTATTTTATCAGGTATTAGTTTAGCTTCCATATAGACAGCTTCAGGTGGGTCGCATTAGGGATGGGCATGAATCAGCTCACGAGCCAAAATTTGGGCCAAACTTGGGCTGGTTCGGAGCTTGGGAACTGATGATTGGGAAAGGCGCCTTCCCCGAACATTTACCGGACTTTTGGCTGGTTTGGTTTGGCTCTTTGGGTCAGCCATTTAAACCTAACAACTGAGCAGTGCGGAATCCATTACTCAGCTTTTAGGTTTAAATGGCTGGCAGCCATTTAATCCTTTGGTTTTGCTCCCTCCCCTGCCAGCCCTTTAAGCCTTCAGTTTTGCTCCTCTCCACTTCTCCGTGGCTGGGAGAAAGTGGAAAAGGAAGTCCTTTCCTGAGTGATCTCCCCTTTCTTCCATGGCCAGGAGAAAGGGGAAACTGAACTTGCCAGACCAGTTTGGTTTGTGTGGTGCCAGTTCAGAGTTTGGTTTATGGGCTGTTCCAAACACCGAACTGAACCAAACTGCCCTTTTTAGGTTCATACCCATCCCTAGTAGCCATGTTAGACTGTAATACTACAACAAAATTCAAGTCCAGAAGCACAAAGATCAACCACATTTTCCAGGGTATATGCTTTTACCAGTCAAACCTCAAATATTTTTGGGACTCATAGCTTGTTCATCGGAAACCTTCCATTGTATCTAATGAAGTGAGCTTCGACACATGGAAGCATACACCGTGGAAAATTTGGTTGGTCTTTAAGGTCGTTAAACTTTACAAAAAGTTTAAGTGGTTATACTGCATCTAATTTATTCATGGCATTTCTGATGATCTGCTTTTCATTTTTGAAGTACCCAAAGTGCTTGCAAATTCGAAACTATGAAAGGCAATTAAAATTGAGAGAAGTGAGCACGTGGTCACCAGTGATAACAACTTCTATAAAGTTTTAAACATGTGTTTATTTTGGTATATATTATTTTTAAAAAATACATGCATCTTTTAATCTTATGTTTTGGGCACTGCATATAATTTTGAATTCAGACATAAAAGGAGAGGATGTCTTCAGGAACTCTGAAGGAGATCATGTGTATTAAGCCATGACAAGCGCCAACATCTTTCTGTTGTACTCCCCCCCCCCCTTCATGTTTTAAAGAAACCTTAGTTAGAGGGCAGGGGGAAACTCCTATTTAAAAAATTTAAGGCTTTGGCTATTGTATCTGAAGATTTGTGGGGCAAGCCAGCCTATCATTTTTTCAGCATCAAGTCTGCTGCTAAAAAAGAAAAAAAAAACCCACCACAGAGATTTATGAGATACTTGAAGATCACTGTGGTGTTAAATTTTTCTGTTCTTGTCCTTTTTGTCAGTAGTGAGTAAGCGGCCCAGCTCTGCTAACACTCTCAAGACTTCTCGCAGAGTGCGCAGATCAGATCATTCTAGCGTTAGCAAAGATTTGTGTGTTTTGGCTGATTTACTACCACTTCCCTATAATACGTTTTTTAAAAAACATAACAAAAAAAACCCCCTACAAGCAAGAATGTACATTTGTTGGGTGCAGCCAATGGAATGTGCCTTTCCTTTTGACATGCTTATTGGCTTTATTACTGTCTGGGAAGTTTTCCGATGCTTATGCCGCTGTCTTTCCTACGAGGTAGTTAATGAAAAAGAGAAGTGAACCGGATCAAAGCAGATTTCTGGTAGCCAGCACCAGACGCACTGCTGCTCCTTCTGGGAACCGGCAGTAGCAGCTTCGGCTGGGTGGGAGGGCGACTGCTCCGGTCACTGTCTGCCAGCAGAGGCTGTTCTGGCAAGCAGCGGCACAGTCATCCTCTGCCAAGGGGGGTGGGGGAGCGGCTTGCAAGTAGATGTTGAGGCGGCATCCCGTACTGCATTGCAGGGCATGAAACTGTCTTTTCTCCATGGCCTTTCGCTCTGTCTCTTAGTGGTTTCCACACCCACTCCCTGCACTGTTTATTAGCTTATTGAAATCGGATTGCCATTTATGCTAGCAGAGCATGCTGGCTTTTATGACGGTTGTGTGTGTTTGGAGGCAGGATATTCATGTGAGGTCCATTGTCTGGAGCCAGCCTGGTAGTTTGCAGCTTGGTTTCTGCCTGCATTCAGGCTTAGCTATCAGCTTGTATTTTTACCTAGCAGTATTCCTGTCTTCCTGATGGGTGGGCTGAGCATTGACAGAGAGAGCATGTATTTTCAAAGGATCCCCAGGGTGGGTGAGTGGGGGCTCAGCATGCACACTGCCACAACCGTGCACCCCCCCCATCACCTAGAGGATCCTTGTCACTGAGGGCGAGGCCACGAATGGTCAGAATACTTTCCCCCCCATTGATTGTAAACAGTGGGCTGGATCCAGGCTAAATTTTCCGCTAATGCAAGGAGGGGAATAATTCCTGCCAGTTCCAGTTTCCTACTGCAGGCACCCCAATTTTTGCCCCTCATGCAAATCTTAAGGGTCCCTTGTCCCTCGGGAGCAGCATTGTGGGAGGCCAACAGGCGGCAGTAGGGCAGAGGCAGGAAAGTTCACTTCTGCTGACGGAAGGCCTTTCCATTAGGGGGAAATGTAGTCTGGACCCAGCCGAAGATCTCCAAGCGTAGTGTTGTCCTTTTTTCCATATAAATTGCTGTGCAGTTGCTCACATCAACGGGCGGGTATAAAGGGAACACTGTTGGGGTGGGGGTTAAGCATGGTGGTGACCGAGGTCATTTGAGTCTCGCTCTTACCTGTTGTGGGTTCTGTTTCTTGGTCACGTTAGAGTGCGACAGGCCGCTGGGAGCAGGCTGCATTTATTTATATCCATCTCTACCCTCCATTAGTCTGAAGTATTACTTCTTCACAGCCGACAGCACTATGGTATATTGGGTTGGCTGCCTTGGCTTTAGGAATCCCTCAGTGGCCCAAGTCGGCAGACCTTAACAAGAGAAATAAACTGCCACGGACCAATTAAGCAAGGCAGCAAAGTCACTGCGAAAATAAAGGCTTATAAGCTCCTGCTTTTAAAGATGTTAAGTGATTGCCATTGTATTCGGGCTCAGAGTTGCCCCCCTCCCCGGACATACAGGAAGGAGCTGGGGTGGCTCCAGCCACCTGAACCCCGTTGGCAGCAGGGCCCCCCGCCCGAGCTTCTTTACCTGTCCGGGGGCTGGGGGCAGAGTGGAACGCGAAGGAGCCAGTGCTCACTACCCAGGGGCTGCTGTTGCCAGCGGCATCCCCAGGACAAACATGGTGGCAGGCGCCCGACATTGTAGGGTGAGGCCCAACTGCCTCAGGGACTGGAGCTCCAGCTTGGCTGGCTGTGGGGCATGGGGCATGGGGCCTGCCAGCAGCTAAGGCGGCACAGGGCTGGGAGGAAAGTTTGATGGAAGCCAAGCTGCCCGCCTCTGTCCAAGGAGAGACAGGAGTGGGGGCGGGTCAAGAGGTCAGTCCTAGTGACTCCCGGCAACAAGAGGCTGGTCAGCCCTGATGGACAGGGTCAGGCAACTGGGGGAGAAGTGGGGAGGTGGGGTTTAGAGAAGGGACAGGGAGATAAGAGGGAGCTATCAGGCAGAGGTCAGGGAGGAAGCAAGCTGGGCACCTGAGGCCATGTTGGTGGTGACCCAGCAGGGAGGAGGAGGAGGATGGTAGTGACTTAACCCCCTCCCCTCCCATTCTGAGACGTCTAGCTGCTCCGAGGGCTCACAAGGGCAACAGCGGAAGGCGGCAGATCCCTGGAAGGGCAGGTGGGATGTGAAGGTTAAGAGGATTTTCAGTGTGGGAGCATAGTTTCCGGTAGGTGTCCATGTTGGTCTGTAGTAGAAGAGCAAGATTTGGGTCCAGTAGAGCCTTAGAGACCAACAAGATTTCCAGGGTAGAGGATTTGGAGAGTTCAGGCTCCCTTTGTCATCTGGCATACAAACACTCGTACCCTGGAAATCTTGTTGGCCTTTAAGGTTTCTACTGGACACAAGTCTTGCTCTTCCACTGCAAACCGACACGGTTGCCCACGTGAAATTCTGAACAAATCAGGGACTGAAACTGGGTAGCCACGGAGATGCAAAGCCAAAGACTTGCCAGTCCACAAGCCACTCTGTTTGCCCACATCATGGTATCTGATGAAGAAGGTTTTTGTTCTTGCAAGGTTATACCTTGGGAAATCTTGTTGGTCTTTAAGGTTCTACTGGGCTCGAATCTTGATTCATTCATGGGTGTTAAAGCCTAACTGATGGATCTCTGGCCCTACTGATGGACCTCCTGATTTCACCTGGTATTTTTGGCCACTGTGTGACAGAGTGTTGGACCAGATGGGCCATTGGCCTGATCCAACATTGACTTCTCTTTTCTTATGCAGCCAAACCTGTTTTTGCAGTTGGTGGTCTTCATTACAACTTCCATCTTCCCCCCTCCCCTCCTGCTTACCTTCCTTTAGGTTTTCCCTGCCCTGAAAATGGACGCTGAAGGCTTCGGCGAGCTTCTGCAGCAGGCAGAGCAACTTGCAGCAGAGACAGAGGGCATCGCTGAGCTCCCTCATGTCGAACGTAACCTCCAGGAGATCCAACAGGCAGGAGAGCGTCTGCGCTCCCGGACTCTCACTCGGACCTCGCAGGAGACTGCAGATGTCAAAGCGTAAGTGTCCAGGCTGCTTGCATTTTTCTGTCGTGTCCTTAGAGATACCAACTCAATCTAAAATTTTGACTATCTTTGGCAAAACAAAGTATCATTACTATTTTCCCATTTGGCATGGTGAGCTGAGAAAATCCCAGGCAAACTTCCAGACACATGATAAAGCATTTTTCAGTTCTCGACTGTGTGTCCAGGTTGCCTGCAAGAGGACCGTGAAGTGCTATTTGGAAAATGTCGGCTCGTCTCTCCATGGCTAGCACTTTCTGGGCCACGTAGGTTTTCCATGCTTAAAGAGTAAACCAGATTAATTTCAATACCTGTAGGTTCAAAGTTTAGTGATATGTTGATCAGATTATTTTATTTAAATAAGTATTATTTTAGGATGTGTAAATGGGAAATACTGTGTACAATAGTCATCGTCACTAATCCCAAACTGGGACTCCTGCCTCTTGTGCAGAAGCTCCCGTAACTTCTTTGTTCTCATCTCCTTCATAGATCGGTTCTTCTTGGGTCCAGAGGGCTTGACATCTCTCACATCTCTCAGCGGCTAGAGAGTCTCAGCGCTGTCACAACCTTTGAGCCTCTGGAGCCTGTGAAAGACACAGATATACAGGTAAGGGGCTATAGGTGACCCAGGTCATGTTCATACAGTCAGAGGTGAATGGCAGTAGCTTCCGTACAGCTCACAACTCTTGTGCACCAGGATACCTTTCTTGTGTTTTTCCATTGGGAGCATTCCATTTAGTGAACTCATGTGAGGATGGTCCAGATTTTTTCCCAGGGGGTTTAAGTGTCTGTTCTGTTTTCAGCAGGTAGTGGCAAACTGTGGTGTGGCAGTTGGTGTGTTCAACCAGGACTGAGGAGGTTGGGGGCTCAGATAGCTTCAGGGACCTCGCTAGGTGGCCTTGGATTGCTGTCTTTTAGCCTAACATACCTCAACATGACATAACATGTTGTGAGGGATAACATGTGGGGAGGGAAAACCTATGTTGCCCTGCTTTAATAAAATCTGATAATGGAGAGGACACTTGTAACAAATTAAAGCGTAAAGGAGTGCCCACCACCTTTAATAATATTAATTATTTGATGCTTCAGAATCTGAGTTCGCAAGGAGGGTGTGTGTGTGAGAGGGAGAGAGAGAAACTGACCATCCTAGTGGAGAGAGGAGTTGAAAAAATAATTTTGTATGCTGGCTGTTGAATCAAATGAGATTTCAACAGTCTAATGATGCAAAGGCTTATTGCCAAATCCCCCAATTTCTAGAGGACACAGTTTCTGTGCGTTTTTCCTTGCCTCCTTGGGTAATAGGTTATGCTATTTGTAAAACTCCGTCTGCTTCTCTCTTAAACTTCTGGCTGCTTCCCCTTGCATAACTTTCAACTTGCTTATTTGTTTACAACTGCTAATCATATTCTAGTAACTCCCTCCCTATGTAATCTTCCCTTTAAACAGAATCCCCAGTTTGATTTCCTTCCACATATCTGAGGAAGTGGCTCACAAAAAGCCCATATTGAAATAAATGTTGTTGGTCTTTAAGTTGCCACTGGATTTTTGTTTTAAACTGCTTCTTACCCAGTTGTACTTCTTTGGAAAACCCAAATGTCGCAAAGTTATAGAACATCAGATTGAGAATGGGTTCACGCAAATCTGCTTCTTGGGGGTGGGGAATACTTTGAGCTGGCGTACATAACTTGTTTTCAGCATAGACTTCCCCTGGAATTAATTTTGAGTGTGGTTGTGATACAAAGTACAATCTGTCCTATTCCATTCCTGCATCTGCTGTGTCTCCTTTCTTCTCATGTTGCATTGTGGTGGGTGTTGCAGACAGATTTGTTGGAATTTCAGCCTTTCAAATGAGGGGAGGCAAGGCTTGCAGTGACAGCATCCCTGGAAACTGCTTTCCTGTATCAAATGCAGCGGTAAACAAATACAAACAAAGCAGGGCTATAAAAACCTGATATTAGGAAGCCCAAAATCGCTTTGCCCTATTTTGTTAACCAGTTGTTTCTGGCCTGAATCTCATGTATTTTGTTTTAAAAAACCCTTTAAACCATACTTTTTAAATGCTGACTAGAGAAAGGGATGCCAAAATGCATCTCGGTTAATTGTGTGAATTATTTAGCAGTAATAAAATCTAGATGACTGATATAAAAAGAGGGTCGTTCCGGAAATGGCTCCCATTAGGGTAATTGGCCAGGAACCTTGTAGTAGATTCCTGTCACTTGAGTGGAATGGGTTTGTTTTCTTGTGTTGTGTCTTGGGAGCACAGTGGCCTTCACAGATCAGTTTTGAGAATATAAAATATTGCCTAGGTAATACAGCATTCTGTTTCCAGCAGTGCATAACCTGATGCCTGTGGTTTTCTTGCAAGCACGGCATGAAGTCATTGGACCTTCCTGTGTTTGTATCAAAATTCGTTAGTTGGAAATGTAATTCCAGAACATGGAAGTTCTGTTTAGGTGTAATGACTAATACCTGTGATCCTATACTGGATGAATTTGCTTAGCCCTCTTAAGAACTGATAAACTTACAGCCATTATTGCATACTGTTGTAAATTTAATAATCTAAATAAGTGTCACGTAAAGAAGGACTTCCTTTTATCAATCTGGAACATGCTGTCAATCATTCATTCTCTGCTGTAATATTTTGAGAGATAACGAGTTGCTTTTTCAACAAGGCTCATCGTTTTATAGTCTCTACTAGGAATAAGGCTAATTGTGGAAATAAATACAACGAGCTCTAGAAAGAGGCTCTGGGAGAGTGCCCCGGCCTTGGGCACTCAGCGTCAATTTGCTGTGGCGACCTCAGCAGGGTATAATGACACAGTCCACTATTTTCTCCAGGAGAACTGATCTCTGCCATCTGAAGAGCAGTTGTAATTCTGTGTGATCTCCATCCCTTCCTGGAGACTGGCAACAATGGTTCCCCATGAGGGAATGGCTGGTTTGGAGGGTGGAGTCTATGGCATTGTACCTGTCTGATGTCCTACCCCTCCTCAAACCTCACCCTCTCCAGGCTCCACTCCTCATATTGCCAGGAATTTCCCAACCTGGAGTTGGCAACCCTATGTCCCTCCCAGCCAACCGTCAACTTACCATTATCTGCCCCCTGGCTTCAGCTTTCCATCTCCTCCCCCTCCCTCCTAGAGAGCAGTTGCTAGGAAAAGTTGAAGGCAGAAGGAAATGAGGAAGACCAGACATGATATGGATTGACCCAATACAGAAGGCCATGGCTTTCAGTTTGCAAGACCTGAGCAAGGCTGTCAATGATAGGACGATTTAGAGGTCATGGGCCACAGTGGCTCAGAGGTTAAGACGCTGAACTGCAGTTCAGAAGGTCTGTAGCTCGGCAGTTTGAGACACTAGTGCTGTGTAACAGAGTGAGCTCCCGTCTCTGGCCCCAGCTCCTGCCAACCTAACAGTTTGAAAGCAAGAAATTGCAAGCAGATAAATAGATACTGTTTTGATGGGAAGGTAACAGTGTTTTGTGCGTCTCGGCATTTAGTCACGCCGGCCATATGATGATGATGATGATTATTATTTTCCATTTATATCCCGCCTTGCCACGGAACGTCTTTGGACAGTGCTGGCTCTTCAGCTTGGAAACTGAGATGAGCATCGCTCCCTAGAGTCGGATTCGACTAGCTTTCGAGCAAGGGAAACCTTTACCTTTAATTCGTAGGGTCTCCATAAGTCAGAAGCAGATCCTAACCTTGAGTTTTGCCTGTGTCACTTCTGTATAGTGCGTTGGTGTTTTCGTTGCAATGAGCTTTCTATTGAAATCTTAAGATCTCTTTCTTGAATAGTCATAGTTAGGATCTTATCAACGTGTTTTTGAACTTAGGGTTGGTGGGACATGTTCCAAGTATTTGCTTTGCTTTTTGTGTGTGTGATATTTAGCAGTAATAATCCATTTGGATCTTCACAGTCTTCTTGTGGCTTATCTGCTGATCTACAGATGAAGATTCCCCCCCCCCTTAAATCAGATATAGTACATGAATACTGTCCAGTGGCTCTTCGAATGGAATTAAACGACTAAGAAGCTGCAGTTATCTGTGTCTGCAGTGGACAAGCACTTACTCAATTCTGCCTCTCAAATTGTGAAGTGGATATGCCTGTGAAGGAACAGGCTGTTTCGGAAAGAGCCATGTGCTCAACTCTGACCTCTCCCCAGTTCAGTTATGTGATTGTGTTTGAGGACGGTGTTGGAGAGAGACTACTCCCACTCCAGTTCCCAAATGGGGACTAGACGTTACAAGTTTCTGCTGATAACTGCTGTTGCCTTTGATAGTGAAGAAGAAAATGTAAAACCAAGAAGTCTTAATTCTGAAGGCAGCCCTCCTGTTCCTTGTAAGCTTTTTTGTTCCTGTAGGTGTTGTCAGGTTTTACTTGCTTTCAGAGTAATTCCCATTCAGATCAGCGAGGAGCTGAGGATGATGTGTGGGCACACAATGCATTTCTAACAGTAAGGAATTAGATGTTTACTGAGGCTGCTTGGTTGAGTGATACGACAAATCAACACTGTCGTTTACTTGGAGATCTCTGGCCCTCGTCTACATACATGCAAGCCCTGTGGATGGCTACTTGCATGTCACCCTATGTGCTGTTGTCTGGGTTGGAAGCATTCGGCAGTCCCAGTGAACTTGTGGGTAGATATGGGAAACAGAGAATCTGCCACCTGGACTTTGAGAGCCCTCCCCACATCCAAAGCAAATCAGCAAGGCCGAGCTCTAGGTAGAATGCTTATCACTAGTTAGGCAGGGCAGAAAGAGATCTGTAGTGCTTTCCTCCTTATTCATTCACCACCTAATAGAAACCGGAGGGGGAGAGCATCACTTGATAAGGGAGGTGGGGTGGGGGGAGTTTACGGTAGGGGCAGAATGAAAATATGCAACAGCTGGGCTTCTTCTAGTGTACAGAATCTTCTCTTGAAAGCAAACAAACAGCAAAGAGAACTTATACTGACAGCAGACTGCATTGCAGGATTTGGTGTAAGTTGCCATCCTATACACAAAATGAATAGATGTTGGGCCCTGTGAAGAACCTAAGTGTCTGACTGGCAAAAAAGAAAGAGGCTGGGAATCTGTCATCTAGGATGCCCGTCCATATCTGAAAACGAGTCTTTTGTTGGACGTAGTGCTTAGGAATGTCAGACTGCTTACAAGCCTGGTGTGCCAAAAGAAAAAAAAAGGGAGAGAAGAAAAAGCTTTCGAGTTATCAAGTGCAGTGATGAAGCATCCTTCACGAGAGTTTCTGCTGAACTCAATGGCTCGTGTGCACCAATGGAAATTGATCCAATACAAGAGGCTCTCTTCATTTCTTTTTTGTAGTTTATCTCACTGAAGAACTGACATGACAAGAAATATCTATTCCAAAATATAGGGGCGGTGTTATCTGCCTGATTTTTTTTAATGATTCCCTGCAATATTTACACACTGTTCCCCCTGCGATGATGTGCATTTTCCGGTGATGTTTGAGATCTTCTAGAGTTACGAAGAAAGAACCTTAAAAGGAGTTACTTGGTAGACAAAATCTAGGGGAAGTTAATTTTAGAAAAATGGAAATTTACAAAGGTTCTTGGGGGAAAAAACACTTCCTTCCTATTCCATCTGT